ATTAAATAGTTAAGATTTTGTAAAAGTTATAAAAGGATAGAATAGTTTTAAAAGTAAGTATATAATCATTTTAATAGCAAAATCAAAATATTCAAAAAAAATATTCCAAGCAATAATTTTTGGCTGTATTTTAATTTTAATTTATAATGTATTATAATATAATATAATATAATATATTATATTATATTATATTATATTATATTATATTATATTATTATATATTACTTTATAAAATAATAAATTAATTAAAGATTTTAATATATATAATAAATATAATATAAATAAATATCTATCACAGTTTTTAAATATTCTAATGTATAAATATACTCAGTAATTCATGTGGAAAATATTGTATTCATACAAAACAACCGCATTTTATGATAACTCGAAGAATACTACAAATATTTTGAAAATAAATGAATTGATAAACGATTCATGCTTTAACCTATTCAATTCTGAGATTTAAATACTACAATAAATACCTATAACTTTTGTTCTAAAGACACACAAAAAATTTTTGTTATCTTTATTTCATATCTTTGTAATTCTTTTTTAGCAACATTTTCTGATATATGCAAATTTTACAGAAATTAATTTGTGTGTATTCTTTTATTCATATAATATATTGACAAAGAGAAACATTAGGAAATATGCAAAGAATTTTCAATTTTTTTACAAACACAATATATTTATTTATTAAATGGAGAAATTTGCATGAGACATTAACCCTTTCTGCATAGAAATTCCATAATGTCAATTTGATATTACATATTTCTGTGAGTAACAGTCTTAACTTTGATTTAGTCTTTTCTTATAAATATCACATGGTTATTTATGAATCAGAATATTGTAATCTTATTTTCTTGTACGAGATTAGCTACTGTTCATTTTTTGTCGTGTTTGAGAATCACTATGCTCAGCACTGTCCTACATTCGTATAGGACAGTTTGCTTGCGCCCAAGGATATTTTTGTCAATTTCTGATTGTCAATAACTGAAAAACGAAACTGAAAACTAAAATTTTTTTATGTTTGATTTTTGTTATATTTTTAGCTTGTAGAATTATTGTGCCTATTTTTTAACATTTCATAATCAAAAACAAAAAGATTTAATTTAATTTATTTATATTTATAATTAAACCAAAAAAATAATTATAATTATATATGTTGACTGAAACAATTCCAGAAAAGAAAATTTGTTAAAATTTTAATCCTTTACAAAATAGAAGAAAAAAAATAGATATTTTACTTTTTAAAAATTTCATTTATCTCACAAATTTGATTTTCGCAAATCTAAAAATCGAAAATCAATTTCATTTATAAAAATAGCGCAAAATTAGTAATTAAGAGATGAAAATAAAATAAGGAATAAATACAATTGATAGATCTTTAAAAATAATTGTAAACGATATTGAAGTTGAAAATTAATCGAAAAGAAGAACAATCGTGGTGTTTAGTATTATATCTCTCATTTTTTCTTTTTATCATCATTTTTTTCTTTTTCTTTTTTTCGCTAGTAATTTTCTTCCCCTGTCACGATTGATTCATGTGGCGCGCTTCCCGAACGAGAATTTCCTGGTGTGAAACAATGGCACAACGACCTTCGCATGCCAACATCTCTATCCTTTCCTTCATTTGAATAATTTTTCTATTATTAGATAGTTTTTTATCTAAATTAAAATAAATTGATATACTTTTCTCATTTAAAATATATATAATTATTTGAATCGATAATTGAAAATCGGAATTGATTGATTATTAAAAATATTTCAGATAATTCAACTGTTTTTTTTAAATTTTAACTTTTTTAAAAATAGCTTTAATTTATCACTGAAAGAAAAAATCATTTAATTTGAAAAAATATTAAATGCAAACATTATCACAACAAAGCAGTTAAAAAAAATCGAAATCTATTTTTTATTATTTTATATTTACTTGTACCATTGATATAAAATATAAAATACATATGATATTATACGTCTCATTTTCTTGTTATAAAATTGTTATAATCATATGTTAATACATGTAAAATATAAAATATAAACTACTTAATATACAAATGCTATAATAATTACAATGATGTTACAAATGCTTTCTATAATTATTTTATAACTATCTTATAACTAAAATAAATTGATTAGATGGTGCTATTTCAAATAAATACATATTTTTCTCCAAGTGTAATTATTTATGTCCTACATTTTGCATATAAATAACATAATAAATTGTTACATGAAAACAAACAATTATAATTATTTAAAAATTAAGTGATGATAAAGAATATTATATTATAATATTTTAATGTAAACAAATAATTTAATTGATTGTCAACAAGTGTTTGAGAATGGTATATTATCGTTTTCCAGAGAAGAAAGGGCAAAAAGCATACGCACAGAACGTGTTATGAAATTGTTGCCATCGATTCAACTGCCGCAATTACCGCCGGTTTCGGCCGGGGGTGGAATGACGGGAATGGACTCTCGGCTACCACCCGGTATATCTTTACCTTTTAGTCCTACTGAACTACTCTGGCGATACGGTCCCGCTATGAATTTTCCACCGACTCACCCGCCACCAAGTCCCTTTCTCGATTTCAAGACGCACCTACCGGCAAGTTTGGGTAAGTTCCACTTAATATTCGTTTCTTCTGATGAGAAAGAACTTCGTTTTGGGAAAGCAAAAATTATTGGCTTTTTTCTCGAAAAGTATTCGATGGATAAATTTAAAAAAATTAGTAAATTTTAATGTTAATTTTAAAAATTGCTCTATATTTCACAAATAAACATTATAATAGTAATTTTCATTCTCTAAACCTTTGGATGCTTTTATTCTCTTGATTCTATATTGAATAATAAAAATAGAACAATCTTCAAATATTATAGATGTTAGAAATTTAATTTCAATCGATAAAAATTTAATTAATAATTAAATATTTTTATTTAGAATATATATATAAGAAGAAGAAATCTGCATTATCTATAGTTCTAACAAATTAACATAGGATATTTCTTCTTTACCACTATTTTATAAACGAAGAATCTCTATAATGTAAGCAATCACTAAATATGTTATATTATTTTGTAAATTTTTATAATAATTTTTGAACTAATGAATTCTTAAATTTAAAAGTGGTATTTTTGGAATCTATTTATCGAATACTACCGAAAGATAAAAAAAGTCCATAATTTTGATATTTCCAAAGCGAAGAAAGTTACAGTTAAAAGAAATTTAAGCTTTAACAAAAAAGTAAACCTGTCAAAAATTGAATCGGAGATCTTTGAAATTTATATTGTAAAATTCGATTTATCCGAACCTGCCGGGTAACAAACCATTCATATAATAAATAAATAAATTCACGTATACTTTCATATATAAAAGGATAAAGTAAATAATATTTTGACTCAATAAATAAAGTTTTATATAAATTTTTTATTTTCAAATTCAGTTTATACATATAATTAGTTCCAAAAGTCTTCAAGTCTTTATTTTATGTGGAAATTTAGCTATATTTCAAATCAAAAAATCTTTTAAACTAATGAATTTTCGTTATAAATAACTCAATACTTTTTTATAGAAAATGCCGAAAAAAATACATGGTTCCATTTAAAGAAATTTCACGTTATAATCTTTATTTGACTATTTATAAAAAAATTAATTACATTAGATATATTTCCTTTGAAATCATTCATTTTTTTGAAACTATATAGATAATAGATAATAATTTTTCAATAGATTATGTTTTATTTATAATTGGTATTCACAATATTTCATATAAAACAAAATTATTTTTAATTTTGATAATTAGTTAAATTTATATAGTGTATGAAAACTTTTATAACTGGTATTTTTTTATCTATGAAATATTATCTATGAATATAATGATTAAATTAAAAATAATTAATACATTTAAATTTAAATTTAATTAACTTTTGTTATCTAATTAATTTAATATTGATTATTAAATAATCATTGAATCAAAAATGATTCAATTATCATAAAAATTAATATATTGATTTTTTGATTTGTTGGTTTGATTGATATTTATATCTCAATATATATGATATTTGTATCTTATTATTGTATTAATATTAATATATATATAGGTAAATATAAAATAAAAATTATTAATTCACAAATATTAATTATATATTGTAAAATTGTATTTATTATATATTTTAAAATTAATATAGACTTTTTATAAATGATTAAATATTCTTCTAGATTATCAATTTATGTATTTATTTTATATTATTATTTTATATAATAACTCATTATATAATATTATTTGAATTAAAGCATAAACTGATAAAAATAAAATGTATTTTATAATATTATTCATTTTGATATTTTATTTTTCACTAAAACATTTGACACAAATATTTGACATTTTCATTATTATATATATGAAAATGAAAATATAATTTGAAAAAAAAATTCTTAGCATTTTCTCTTATATGGACACTCGTTGTTTTTTATTTATTATTTAAATAAAATTTATTTAAAATATGAAATATAGAAGCAAAATTCTTCTTTGCTATTCATTATTTTTATTAACGAAAAAAAAGTTGTCTTTCAGTAATATTTAAATTAAAATCTAGATTTAATAAATAAACATTTTGAGATATTGCAAATAAAATTATTATTTTAATTTTTTTAATTTTTGTTATTAATTTACAATGATATAATTTTTCTTTTCAATAAATAATAAAAATACCTTCAAATTTATATATAGATTAGAATAGATTTAAAAAATAGGTTCTTTGTTTATTTATATTATGAATATCATTTATAAATACCAAAAATTTATAATATATCATTAAGGAAAAAATTATTATAATTTATAATGAAAAAATAAGAATTAAAAGATCAAAAAATATGTTGAAAAAAAATAATCAGCTCAAAACAAAAATAAACAATTAAAATTCTAAAGCTTATCTCAAAATTTAATATATACCATCTTTTACACATTGGAAAATCAGAAATAAATTATTTCCATTATTAAAATAATCGTACAATCTTTTTCTTTACTTTATTCTTCATTATTCAACTCCGTTTGATTATAAAGTAGTTCAACACAAGCACTCGTTAAATTCTCATAAACAAAAAATTCTCATAAATTAGAATTCTCTGAAACTTTAACTCTAACAGATCATGGATTATTTAATAAATAAAAAAAGAGAGGAGAAAAAAGAAAAAATAAAAATAATTAAACACATATGTTGAACAGCTTCAGACCCACGGCTGTGGTCCCGGGAGGATGTGACGACGTTTCTTCGATGGGCCGAACGAGAATTCGACCTACCCCAATTCGATATGGACATGTTTCAAATGAATGGCAAGGCGCTCTGCTTGCTGACAAAGGCGGATTTGGGAGAAAGATGCCCTGGCGCTGGTGACGTGTTACATAATGTGCTCTCGATGCTGGCCAGAGACTTTAACCAGCTTCAGAGGTGTCTTCCCAGTAGTCCGGTCACCCCAACAAGACCTTCCGCGTACCCCCTCAGTCCTCATTCGCATCCACCAACCCCGACATGGACGGAGAACCCATACACTGCGAATCTTGCATCATTAATGTCCGCGAATTCAGTCACGTTATCCCCGGCACCCTCGGTCGACAGTCAAGCAGGATCTCCAGGACATACGGAAAGTGCACAGAGCCAGATTTACAAAAGCGATTCGGACGAGGATAATCAACAAGGAACTACCGGAAGTCCCCCAGCCACGCCCACTGCTCTTGCAGCGCAAAGGTTAAGCGAAGTTTGCGTCAAGGATCAACCGAGTCCTACGTTAACGCAACCGATGATGCCTCTGACGCCCGGTGCCTTCAGAACGAACCCTGCCAACGCTGCGAGAGAATTTTTCCCGAGCGATTCTCCGGAACCTAATACAAGTAAGTGTATACAAGTAAATCAACATCGTTGCATCTTTTCAATTAAATTCAATTAAATATTTTTATTCATTGATATTATTTATTGATAAGTTTTTTTTGAACAGTATATTGGATATAATTAGCATTTAGAATCCCTAATGGGCTAACTAGATTTCCCTATAATTGAATATGTATTTCATAATATTTAATTTATATTTTTACTATGTTAGATAATTTAAATAATTAGTTAAATTGTTTTGATATTAAAAGGTGATTAACGAAATTGTAAGAAATTGTGATATTATATTAATTATTAATTATTGTATAATTATTGTTGTTTGAAATATTTTAGATGCATTGAGAATGATAATTAAGTGATTTTGAAATAAGAAAGAAGCAGATTCATTAAAAAATAATGTTAATAAAATTATTGGTTTAGTTTAATATTAAAAAGAAATATTAATTATGAAAATATATGTGTATATATATATATATACATTTATATAAGAATTAGAAATTATTTGATAAATCTTTTTTTCAATTTTTGAAATTTGAAATCGTTGACTTATCGAAATATTTAAAAAAAAAAGATTATTTTTCAATTTTTTAATTATTGTTTTATTAATTATTATAATTAAAAATGTCATTTTCCATTAAATGGAAAAGCAAAACAGAATAAAGTCTTTGTTTTTGTGCACTAAACAACACAAAATTTATAATAAATTACTAGTTTTGACATATCTATTTTTAGCTTATGCTATAATGAATTTTGTTTTAATTATATTATACATAATAATTTAAAAATTGTTAAAAATAAATTTCTTTTTAATATAAAGTTTTCAATGTTAAAAATACATTTGGCGGCCTTAATTAGTGATATGGTTTGATTCTTTATTGTAGATTTCTGTAATTTGAAATTCTTAAAAATTAAACAATTTATAATTTTATATTAAATCTTTTTACTTATATATTATATCATGCAATATCAAAATAAAATTAAGATTTTTTTTTTATTCTTCGTAATATTAAATACGTAAAAAGTATAAAACTATTTTGTAAAAGATAATATTAGATGTGCAAATAAGTTCTTTTTCTTTTTTTTTCCAAATTCAAGATTTTATTATAAATCAAGCATAAGATTATGTCTCAAAGTATTCACTCTCATTCTCTATAATTTTTTCCCACTTGATAAATTATAAATTCCATTCCTGAAGAATGATAGCTGCTTGCTGATTACGAAATCATCAATACATTTTTGGATATCTTCTTTCGAATTGAAGTGCTTTTTCGACAATTGCTAACTCCGAAAGTTGCAGATTCCGAAAAAGATGAAGTCAAATCTAAAGTATGTCGTATGTGGCAGAATTTCCCATCCTAACACATAAATTATGACCCGCATTTCTTTTGCAATGTTGAGCATTGTCGTGCTAAAATCACGTATCTTATTCCTTGTCTAGAAAATGGCCGAATTTCTGATTTAACTGTCGTATAAATTCATTAATTGATTTTGATAATATTCGGCAATTATTGTCCTTCCAAGTGAAAGATATTCATAATAGATGATTTCTCGGAAATCCCATCACATAGACAGCAAAACTTTTTTGCAATATAAATTCGATTTTACTGAAGTTGATGGTTGATGATTTCCCAGGATTAATCCATGATTTCTATCGTTTTTGATTGTCATAAGATTTTCATCGCTAGTAACAATTTTGTCTAAAAAACTTTTCCTTTTATACCATGAAAGTAAGACAGTAGAAATCTCAAGTCTGTTTTTTTTTTTTTTTTTCATTTAATTCATGTAAGATCGCTATCGCCCTAACTTCTGAATCTTATCTAATTATTTCAGTGAAATAGATACTTGTCTGGTACTCCTAATCTTTCTGCCAATTCTTCTTATGTCTGAGTCGGATTTTCGTTGAATTTCTCTAATTCATCATCATTAAACTTTCTCGGTGCACCTGAACGATCATTGTCTTTCAAATTAAAATTTCCGATTTTAAATCTTTGGTATATTTTTTATATATTCTGTAAGATATAGCGTTCTTTTCCAATGCCACATAAACCATTTCAACAACTGATTTCCTAAATTGGAATGCAAAAAATAAGCAGTAAACAAATGATGTTTCTCGCATGTTATATTGCTTGAAATTTTTGCATAAAACAAACTCTTCATCATGACTTCTTAAAAACAAAAGTAAATGGAAAGTAATTCGAATTCAGTCAGAAGTTATGATTGTAGAAAAAAGGAGGAAGGAACTTATTTACACATCTAATAATATCGTAAAATTATTCAAAATTATCTTAATTAACATGAGATCATCTACAAGTTTAAAAAAAAAAGTCTATTTTGAATATAAAATAATTGATATTTTTTTGTTTTTAATTAATTAAAATCATTTATTGTTTGTAAAAATCTTTCTTCATTTTTTAAAATTTTCAATTTTTAATTTTTTTTTCAAAAAAATTTCTTTCTTAATTTTTATTTTTTTAATTATTAAAAATATTAAAAAACTATTCAAATTTTAATTTATAAGATTTATAAAATTTTATTATTTAAAATATTTTACAGTAATCAAGATAAGTAATAATAGTTTATTTGCACTAATTAATTAAATTAAAAAAATTATACATTAAATTAAAAAAATTGTATACATTATCTATTATATATACCAGTTAAATTTAATATAATTTTTTATTATTATTGAATCTAATAACTATAGTTAACATAATATAAAAAAAATCTTTTTTATATTATAATAATGCTTTATTAATAGCATTCATTGTTATTATTATTGTAATATTATTATATATAATATATATTATTATATTATTGTAATTTAAATTTCAGTTAAATGCCATATATTTCATTCTAAATTCCTTCATTATAATTATAAATTGTTATAATTATTTATAATAATAATTAGGATATAATGATTTGATTTTGTTTCAAAAATTTATTATGTATGATTCTTTCAATTCTGAATTTTGAAAACTAAACTTTCAAAATGTGTTTTGATAAATTATTATATGAATATATAAACATATTTCTTCTTTTGTTTATTATAGATGGTAGACTTTTATGGGATTTTCTTCAACAACTTTTAAATGATCCCTCACAACGATATACACATTACATCGCATGGAAAAGTCGAGAAACGGGAGTATTCAAAATCGTTGATCCTCCTGGACTTGCAAGGCTCTGGGGCATTCAAAAGAATCATCTTTCAATGAATTACGATAAAATGAGCAGAGCTCTTCGATATTATTATCGAGTGAATATTTTGCGAAAAGTCCAAGGAGAACGACACTGTTACCAGTAAGTTTATTGCTTAATTTTTTTTTTCTTATATTTTAATTTGAAATATCAAAATATAAATTATTTATTTGATAAATCTAAAAATATACAAATTGAAATATTTTATATGCTATATATATACGCATATTTTAAAATATTTTTTTTATAATATTTAAAAATTTTGTTAAAAATTTTGAGAAATTATAAAAATAAAGTATTATAAAACTATACAAAATAAATTGTATAAATATTTTTACAAGTTATATGATTTCATAACAAAAA